TAGTCAGTGCTTTAACATCAATCTGCAGATTTTACCATGGAACGCCACTACACATATGTGGTTGTAGCCCACTCATGCATAAACGAAATATCCTTTGGATAATTTGAAGTATACACTAGGTATATCCTGAGGAGATCCCTCATGGGCCTAGGTAGCAAACTATGAATAATAATAGACATATACAGAACGCTGTGTTACAGGTCTTAGCACCCGATAATAGCCCAAACCCCCCAATAAAAAAAAAACTTATTTCTTGTCAATAATTACTTTTCTATAAAGATCAGACTGTCAAAGGTCACTACAAATTGCTTATCGTATAATAGCAAAATTTATTTGCCATAAAGATACGTTAATTCATATCTAAAACATATATGCGTATTTGTCAGAATGTATGACGTAAAATAAAATACGTTATCTGGGCCGTAGAAATGCGACACTGATTAGGCCTGTGTCAGCTGGTGCTATGACCGACTCAGGCGCTATCATCGAGAGGCTTGTACCAAGACGTAGGAAATCTAATACAAGTCCCTATAATAGCGGTCTCCGAGTTTTGGAGTTTCATCGTTGCTCACATCTTCAGCATTCCTGACACAACATAATTTTCCCCAAGAACTGAAATAATACAGAATTAATTATTACGTCAAACAAGCGGTTTCATAAAATGTGATTTTTTTATGTTTGCGTGAAACGGACTGACTGACTGACTATGATGAGATAACCTTGAAAAAATAGGTATTAATTTTTTTACAAATATTTTCAATATACAGTTTTATTTTTGTTTATCTATATTGACTTTACCCTTATCAGTTAAAACTTCGGAAATCCGGAATGAATCATAATACCTACTTATTATCTATAAGTGGGTAATGAAAATATATTTAACTCACCTATGTACTAAACACGTCACAACATGTAACGTCAATGATAATACGTATATAATATTCCTAGCATGGTTAAACGATACTAAATTGTTGGGTGATATTGCTATAGCACCTATTTTACCCTGTCTCATTCTCGCGCACAATCATTATGTCAAATAGTCCCTGTGTTTTCTATGCACGACGACTACTTCGATATTGCCCCAAAATTTTATGTCGTGTTTAGGCCGGTTTGTAGGCTACGGCTGCCCACAGTTGCATAAGTGTAGATACGTTTTTATACGCTATTGAAGTCTTTAGAATCAATATTACAAAATGAAAAGATTTTTAATAGTTTAACATACTACAAAATAAGAGATACAGTTGTGAATCGATTATATATTATTAGGTATTCTTTTTTTTAACTCACCTATTTGAAAAGTTTCAATTGTATTTTTTAATGTGTAAGGTTTGGGCTTTTTGCATCAGTTAAACCTAAAGACATAAGAATGAAAGAAAGAAAGAAAATTGTTTAATTGGTACACTGAAAATAATTTTTAAAATTAAATTTACATTTTATATTAATAATTAGAGTACCAACTAGGTCTCCGCTCGGCATATGTCGTGACGGGGTGCCACAACGCTGGTTTTCAGCGGACACCTTATATACAATAAATATAATAAAATAATAATAATAATACACATACATACATAAATCCAGGCGGACAACACAAAGCAAACATTTACGACATAATACCATATATAAATAAAAATCAAACATAAACTACACACTGAAATCATAAAATAAACATAAATTCTGGTGATACTAGTATTACCCTGCATTACCCCGCTCTTGGAGTGCAGACACATCACGGCACAGTTTTCTGAGTGAGGAGGAGTATTTTTTTAAATTTATTTTTAAAAATCTGCACAGTTAAAGAATCTTTTATAGGAGGAGGTATATTATTCCAGCACTTCGTAGCAGAATAGCGAAAACTACCACGAAACGCTGCCGTTCTATGTGAGGGGCACATCAAATGAACGCCGCGTGAATGACGACTACTGAAATTCATTTTTTCGTAAAGATATTCGGGAATCTTTTTTTTTACAACTTCAAATAGTAAGCTGGCAAAGTGTAGTTTACGCCGTGTTTCCATACTCATAAGGTCTTTACTATTTAAATATGGTGATACGTGGGCTCTGCGAGGTATCGGAAAACAAAATCTTGCACAAGAATTTTGAACGCGCTGTATAATCTTTTTTGTGCGAGCTAAAAGACATCGCATAAATGTTTATTTCTATAATAATTCACATATTATCAATATTGTTAGAGTGTCTGTTTGACTCACGGTAGAGTAAACCACTTGTTGCTGTAATGATGCACATGAATTAGAGATTCACAAAACGCAGATTCACTTTAACTACGTTTTTTGTGTTTTAACTGTTTTTTTTTTAAACTGTGTTTTAATCTCTGATTGAATCAATATATTGTAATATTATATGAAGGTAATTTATTTTCAAATCGTCAGTATTTTAGGTATAAATAATACAATACGACCTTATGTTAAGGTGTTTTAAATAAAAAGCCATAGATTATTTCTGAGTAACCTAAAAATAGGTAATTAATATTAATTTCCGATAGTGCCACAACCCAATTTGAGAATCACAAAAAGCTGGCAATGTCAATGGCGGGTTATGTCAAATTTATCCCTGAAAATGGAAAACTGTATTTACTTATATAAAATCATTTATTTGTTTTGACTTATCAACACACAGTCAAATTACGAAGTCTATAAAATTGAAGTTTGGAATAAAAGTTTATTTTATAACTTAAGGAAAAATTGTTCACATCAAGTAAATAGATATTGCGTTTATGTTACCACTAGCTACTCGCTCCGGCTTCGCACAGTATTATATATATAAAACTTCCTCTAGAATCACTCTATCCATTTAAAAAAAACCGCGTCGAAATCCGTTGCGTAGTTTTAAAGATTTAAGCATACATATGGACAGACAGCGACAACGACTTTGCATTATATTATGTATTGATGAGAAAATTATTTAATCGTAGCAAAAAGATTAAAAAATTCTGTGTAATATAATTTCTTAGAAAGAACAAATATAACATAAACCGACACAACTGTTACTCCAGAAAAGGATAGTCAGAGATATTGTTAACTGTTGATGCTGAAATCAACGCTTGAATACGCTACGCTACACGATGGAGCCTACCGAAAGAAATAGAAAAAATCTTTTTAAAATTTTCACTTTGACCATACTCTTTGAGTTGAGCTAAATTTATGTAATTGCTAAATGGTCAAATTAGAGAAAATAGTTTTAACACTCATTTTAGGACTGTGGAAATTACAGTGGTTTGAAAAGGATGTGTTAAATTTTATTAAAATTTGTTATATTGGTATTTTACTATTAAAAATTGTTCTTGGTTTCTAAGAAGTTTAGACAATATTATCTTATTGTTAGAAATCCAAACCACAATCCAGACATACAGGAAGGAAAAGAAAAGATATAATAATAAGCCGAATCAGTAATTAAATTAAAGTTAAATTTTATGAATGCTTCCTAAAATTTAACAGAGAAATATGGAAACAAGTAGGTAGTATTTTGATTCTATGTAAGCCATAAATAATATTTGTATTCTTGTTAATTATAATTATACCTTTACCTGTAAAAAAGACCAATGAACAGCACTAGCACTATCACATCATGTTATAATGTGATACTAGTGATATCAATCATGCGTTGCCATTCCAGAGATGTAAAATTTTATCACTTATCCTGTACATTCACTACCTAACCACCTTGCAACCAAAACACAGCTTACAAATCTGGTGTATTCAATCAAATTTTAGGTATACTTAGGATTAAGTATAAAGTCTACGATATAGGTAGGTACGTTATGATTATAAATATAATTTCATAAATTGTTGCGAGTTTGTTTTATCGTGTCTGTTGTAGATTTCACATTGTAATGACGACAGTCTATGAAAAAAAAGGGCAGACAGATATGTCTGTTACATATTATAAAACAATCACACGGCTCCCACCGCGATTGTCTGTATGTCTGCGAAAAACTAAAAATTACTGAAGGAGTTTTCATGCAGTATTTATCTATCAACAGAGTGATTCCTTAAGGTTTAGTCTATAATATCATATTCTACTAATCGTGCGGAGCCGGGACAGGTCGCTAGGCTAAGCTACTATAATTTCCAGTCGACAAGTGACGAGGATACTTTTAACAGCGACCAAATATCGGAATTTCATATACTTACAATATAAGCACGATAAATATTCCATTTATATAATGTGTATAAATATAAACAACCGAGATAAATATTTCCATACATATTTCATCACTAATTCCAAATACAGAAAATAGTTTGAGAGAAAAGGACAAAAGTGTTCATTTTCATTAATGAGGGTAACATTTTATGTGCAATAATTTTGCAGTAATATATTTTTGTATCAATATATTTTAATCTAAAATAATATTGACTTTTATCTTGCTTTGCATCGGCCGGAAAGTAAGCCATGACTTGGAACAAAGTGGATAGGGATTGGCAGGTTGGGCGGCAAATATACAAGGAAGTGTAACCTCACAAGGTGGGCATACTGGTCACTTTGTTCCATGAAGTCCCCCATGATATCAAAGATGGCAGAGTATGGATAGAGTAATGATCCTTAGTAGTGGAAGAATAACACACAAGGGGATGAGGGATACAGGAAAAGTTGTTTTAATTAGGTGTACATTAAGTATTAATAGGCAACTAATGTGTATATTTTTGCTGATTGACTTATGCGTCAAAGTTAGTGATTAGACAAGTTATGGAGATCAGACAACATTACAATTATTAATACAAAGGCGAGTGTGTTACAAAATAAAATGTGTAGCTAGCAATATTATCAATTATCTTGACAATATCATTAATAAGCGTCAGAAGTGACGTTGATAATTGTAACTAAGCGAACGGTGGGGCGCGTGTGTGGTCTGTGTCTGCGGCTGCATCCATTGTTCACGATTGCGAGTCGTGAGTGCTGTGCACCGTAGTTGCATGTTGCATGGTTCAAGCCAGTGAGGCTGGTGGTGCGGGAGGCTGTGAGGAACAGGTCCGGCGCACGCGCGGGGCAGAGTCTCGCGGCGGCCGGCTGCGGCGCCACCGGCCACGGGCCGAGCTCAACTCAACTCGTATCGGCGCTCAGTGCACGCGCTGCCTCGCCACTGTCAGCCTGTGTACATGCGACACACAATTCTACTCCCGATACTTCGTTCGACACTCACGTGAAATCTATCAATAAACAATACTACGCAAAAAAAAAAATACTTGAATGTCCGTTACAATTTTTATCGTGGGTTTTGTCCGACTTATCCATAATTCAGAACGTGTTTTTATATATATTACTTGAAGTAACTTAGCTTCTTCAATAGTGCATCGCAAGTGAAGTTTAATATTTTTAACGGTACGGAGGGACATCGCGATCTGAATTTAAAGGTAAGCTTCATCTTTATTAATTAAATTCTGTAATTATGCAAGTGGTTCTTAGGTCTATTATTATTACATAAATTTGTGTCAACTTTTTAAAATATTTTGATTATGAGTATGTTATATTAGAAAGTTACATGGCATAGCAACAAAACAAGTTGAAACTACTCGTACACGTATACTTGTAAGTACGCGAGTAGGCACTTGAGTTGATGTAACCTCGTTATGTTGGGGCATGTTGAATAATGTTGAATTTGTCAAACAAAATTTGAAGTCCGCTACGTTGAAAAGCAACATTGTTATCTTAATCATGTACCTGCTTAAAAATGTCGTGTGTATAAACTAACAGTGAATGAAATACCGCGAAAACGGCATACTAAAATAATTACACTCTAGTTTGCGTATAGATCGTTAATCAAGTATTACTGTTTCATGGTATAATTGCATGTTTAAATACTGCTATAGTAATAATTAATATTTGTACTAATAAACTTATTATATTCGAGGTATTATTGTAAAAGAATTTGATAGGTATGAGAATTTAGTTTTAAATTATCTATGAATGAAGCTTAGATAAGGACGTCACACATTACTCATCTTGTACGTAGGTACATGTTGCAACGTGAAATATATAAACATATGTATATTATATGCTGTGAATATTACATTAATAACACAGAGAAGGCGATGTGCCCAGTATGTAAAGGGCACTAAGTAAGGTAGAATGAAAACCAGTTGATGGTGTGGTAACACTAACATGATATTCATCTACTGCGGGCCACATATCGCTTTGGTATACGATACAAACCCTACTTATCATACTTGTAGAATAAATTTAGAAAGCTATCAACATATAAATCATGAAAGTACTTACTTTCAAAGCAAATGTTAGGAATAACTATTAGGACTATTAATGTTTTGTTATAATTTCAATAAATCTGCCAATACGTCGAAATGATCTTTAGATTCCCGAAAACACATCGCGAAAATGCTCTTAAAAAAGTACTTAATCTTAACTGATGGTATTATCGTAAAGAAGTTTAATCTAATTATTATTATCAGCGTGCCAGGTACACTTATGACATGGACAGTGAAAATCAAATGCCAATGACCTGTATCCTTAGATATATCGACATATCTCTTGCTTCGTACACTTTCATAACTCGTCTCATATACATATGCTGGTTTCGGTGACTTGACTTCCTGAGAAATAATTTTAACTAAACTAAGTAATGTAAGCAATTGTGTCAAAAAAAATAATATACCAACTATAGAGTAAATATTTTATAACAATAAAATAAACATAATATATCCTTTAATGACTTTTTAATATAATATTTACTGTTAAAAGTTTCATCTCCTAAGAATGGATTGTTTTTAAAAAACTTCTAGTAAAATTATTTCTATCAATAGTTGAAATATATAATATCATTAATCTCATATAGGAATTCGGAGGCAAAATGTAATATATTAATTATTTTACCGTGAGAGATTTCCTATTTTCTCCATCTATAAGTCCTTCGTATCTGTATACATACATACATCGTATATATATTGTATTTCAAAGTAATACCATTTCACGGAATCCTAAAATAAGTTTCAAAATAAGAAGTAAAGTAGTAACTCTTAAGTAAGTATATAAGATATTGTAGTACTATTTATAAACCTCCATTTACTATGAATTTTGGAGTTACAGTCTTACTCATAGGCATAATTGATATTTACTAAAAATCAATCATTGTACATGACCTACGCTTAATTTGTATGTGTGTTCAGTAATTAGCTATAAATGAATATTGTATACAGTAGGTTTTATGAAAATGGCATATATAAACGACCAACTAAGGTTAGGTATAATAAAATTGAGCTCCATAAAATAGCTACCATAAGAACGCTGTAAATATTACTTGTAAGAGTATTAATATGATTTAATTTAATAGGTTTCTTCATCTGAACTGAAGTAAGGTTTAGAGTACTTTAGAGTCTTGTTCAAGTTTCATTGGTGGTCATCAGTTCATTTGTTGATGTACTTTTAAGATAAAGTTAAGTTCAATAAAGTTCTACAGAAAGGGTATAAAGTTAAGGTCTCAGCAGTAATAAATAATTGATAACATATTGTTTTTATTATATTATTTAGGTACACGATTAAAAATTCCCCTTTTACATATAGGGGGATAAAAGGGGGTATTCCTTTTACATATTTCTTATATTATTCCCTTTTTACGCAGATTTTAAATAAATCATACACTTTTAATATAATATATATAATTATGGGCAAATTGGATTTTCTTTAACACATATTTTAAAATAGCTATATATATTTAAAATATAATAACGCCTATTTTTATGTAATAATAATTTACTAATATTTAATCATTAATAACCTACTTGTATTTTTCCATGGAAATACCTAAAACAGAATGCCGCCTATTACATATAATGATAAGGGCTTAAAATATAATAGATCAAACTAAGCATAGCAAAATAACATAATATTATTTTATCAACTATTTGCATATTGTTATCATTTGTAACGTATCTATGTTACAAAAATGCCTAGATATTCTAAAAGTATTTAATATAATATTTATTTTATATGCACTGTTTGAGGTAGGTGTATTATCTGAAAAGTAAAGAAATTGTCCAGGATTTCTTCTATGAATACAATTGACGATTTATAAATTATTCCCAGCCAGTAAATTCACAAGCTTCTTTCTTTGTAAAAAATATTGCTGCTAAATTTACATAAATCATGTGTACTGTAATACATATTTGTTTTCTTGATCGATCTGCACAGACACACAAACGGATTCATGTAATCATCTTTATCCTATTAATAATTTTTTATTATCCTATTTTTTTTTAGCCTTTAGCCTATTATTTCTTTTATCCTTTATCCTATTAACGAATAATTGTTAATTAAATATTATAAAGATATTTTAATGATTATTGACAGAATTAGAAGACATTATTTTATTTATATGTAATTTTACATATATTTGTTACGCCACATATAACATATCTTTTAAAATATCGTGCTGCGGTACTTACTCATATTGAGTCATGACTCTAGTCATTAATTCTAGTATAACGTTTCATTAGGAGTCGTCATTTATGACGACAACATGTTTCATTTTTTTCAGCGAAACGTTTCAACTTATGATTCAGCTGTCTATCGGACTAAACGCCTGCGCCTCTAAGGCGCACATTTTTGTTTGTTATCTATATGACATGTATACGGATGTTTTTAATCTGTAGTAATCAATACACTATGTAATATGCATTGGTAGATAACGCCTATATGCAAACAATTTACCTATCAATTATTTCTGCTATCAAGCAACTTGCTGGGTTTTGATCTCAGGGATGAGTTAGTACAAGGTTAATAAGCAATAATTTAGTACTCAGGCATTGGCAAGGTAAGAACTCAAGGCACGGACGCATGATTTGAGGTTCTTGTTTAATAAAAGTAAGATATCTCCTAGTGTTCGTTGAAATCAAATTATGTAAAGGACAATTTGGTTTAATGTTTAATATATATTTGTAATTAATAACTTCTTTATTTCGATAAGTATTAATATCATGTTGAATAAAACATCTTCGCAAATAATGCATTATTTTAAAAGAAATTCGATTACAATAAAAAGTTTATAGTGAGTTAATCTTAAAAGATAGACATATTGTTATGTTGTCACGGACTTTTTTTAGAGCCTTTAAAGGAGAAAAATTCCGTCTTACATATTTTTAATAACTTTAACCGTTTATGTTGCGCACTTGAATGCGCACTGGAAATGAATATATTTTGCCACATTTTTCATTGCTGCTCCGCTCCTATTGGTTGCAGCGTGATGTCATTGTATAACTCGGGATAAAAAACTTTTCTAAGTGAAAGAATTTTAAAATCGGACCAGCAGAACCTGAGATTACCCCGAACGAACAAATATACAAGCTTTAACCCTTTATAATATTAATATAGACGTGTAAATAACAATACTTGCGAATGCGTGATTTATTAGGTTTTGTAATTTGTTTTCCATCGTAATATTTTAATTGTATTAGAATACAAACGTACAACAAAACAAGAGTGATATTTTATCTAAATAAAACGTGACCGAGATTTCTTCATTCAATATATACTCCTTTATAAAAATAAAATATGAGAAGGTAGGTCATATACTCGTAAATATTAGGTTTGTTTATTTCTTAGTGTGATTTCTTAACATTGTCCCGGCTATTTTAGGATCTGCTATCTTATAGTTCTATATATGTATCATTTACTTGTTTTCTTAAACCGTAGGTAACTACTGACACTTTTAATTAATGGTAAGTGAAACGAAGATAACCTTACGTTGCAAGATAGAGGCAGGGTAACATAACGACAATTTCGCTTGTATTTCTCACGAGTGGAGTTTAGCCGCGTTGCTAATTAAAGTTAGCTTACTCGCATCTAAGTGTTGTCTTGCACTAAGCAATTAATACCCATATGGGGCACATTTACGAGCTCTGTCTCACATCTGTCTTGGAATCCCAGTAAAAGAGGTATTAGTTTGGTAGTTAAATTTGACTTAGATAAATGTGTCTACACTTAAGACAACTTTCACGAAGTCCTTTCGTTTAACATTTATTTTTTTATTTACTAACACCTGTGGGTTAGTGAACTAAGAAGGTACTTGTGGCTTGAAAACTCAGGTACACTGATTTTATACATAGCTATTTTTATCTGCTGCAAAAATGCAAATAAGTCGATGGATAGGGCAACCGTCGCCTATATACATGAAGAGCACCACAGACGTCACGTCACTACTGAGTTGATCTTTAGATGGACTAAGATATTATGTATCCGTACATTGTAATGTCTTTGCCACATCTCAACATTCAAAAGAAAAAACAGGTAACCTTACAAAAAAGGTTGCTTGTCCTTGCAGACAACTTTGTAAAGAGTCAAATTAATGTTTGCAGAAAGGATGCTTAGGTTAGGTGTATTGTGACCATTATAGTATAGTATGACC